CCTGAACCCTTAGCCCCAAACCCTAAGCTCTAAACCCTAAACCCCAAACCCTCAGCCCTAAACCCTAAACGTGAATCCCTGAATAACTAACCCCTAAACCCTAAACCCGAAGCCCTAAACCCTACTAAACCCGAAGCCCCAAACCCTAAACCCTCAGCGCTAAACCCTAAACCCCAAACCCTAAACCCTAAACCCTAAACCCTAAACCCTAAACCCCAAACCCTAAACCCTAAATCCCTTCATCCCTTAATCCCTTAATCCTTTAACCCTAAACCCTAAACCCGAAGCCCCAAAAGAGTTCCCGAGGCCCCAAAGAGCTCCCGAAGCCCTAAACCCTAAACCCTAAACCCTAAACCCTAAACCCTAAACCCTAAACCCTAAACCCTAAACCCTAAACCCCTCCCCGAGGTTCTGCACCGCAACCCCGTGGCATGGGACTTAGAGGCCGGTCCAGGTCGAAACCTGAAGAGTCCAATACTATTTTGGGGGCTCCTTAGTATAACGGTTTAGGGTTTAGGGTTTAGAGTTTAGGGTTTAGAGAGTCCAACGCTGTCTTGGGGGCTCCTTAGTATAACTATAGCATAACATTATTATTATGCTACTATTTTGGGGGTTCCGTATTTTCGTGGTTATTTTAGGGCTCTTGGGCTTTTAGAATTCTAGGTTTCAGGGGGTTTTCGGGTCTTAGGTTTCAGGGTTTTAGGTTTCTGGGCTTAGGGTCGAAGCCGGAAGAGTCCAATGCTATTTTGGGGGCTCCTTAGCATAATCATGCTACTATTTTTGGGGGGTTCCATATGATAACTATAGTATAATGGGGTTTTTAGGGTTTCTAGGGTTAAGAGCTTTGGGGTTTTTGATTTTAGGTTTCAGGGTTTAGGGCTTAAGGTTTTGAATTTTAGGGTTTTAGGTTTCAGGGTTTAGGGTTTAGGGTTTTAGGGTTTTGGAATAGTCCATAGTATAGTGGGCTCCAGAATAAATGTAGGGCTTTGGGGTTTTAGGGTTTCTAGGGTTTGGGGTTTGGGGTTTAGGGTTTAAGGTTTTGTGTTTGCGGTTTGAGGGTTTTAGGGCTTTGGGGTTTAAGGCTTTAGGGTTTTTAGGGTTTGGGGTTTAGGGTTTGGGGTCTGGGGTTTAGGGTTTGGGGTTTAAGGTGTTTAGGGTTCAGCGTTTTAGGTTTAGTGTTTGGAGTTTTAGGGTTTGAAGGTTTAGGGTTTAGGGTTTAGGATTTGGGGTTTGAGATTTACGGTTTGGGATTCTAGGGGTCAGGGTTTGGGGTTTAGGGTTTAAGGTTTAGAAACCCACACTTTACCCTAAACTTAAAGCCGTTACACCCTGAACCCTGAACCCTCTCGATTCCTTGACCTCTGCTGGGCCTTCGGTACATGCCTATTCCGAGCTTGCGGAGCGGGCCCTGTACCATGGCTGCCGAGCTCTCGGCGACCCGGCCGGGCCATCGGACGAAGAGTGTGCGTGACACATTTGAGATCTAAGCACTAAGCCGTAAACTTTCCTAAACCCTTAACCCACCGCTCTCCAGAACGAACCGGTCCGGGAGCTCAAAGGGCGAGTGAAACTCACTCGCCTTGAAGAGGGCGCACATCTTGCGTGATTGCGCTGTGGTGGGGTTTTAGCGTTTAAGGGTTGTTTCAGGGTTAGGGGTTCTGTGGGGTTTGGGCTTTTTTCGGGGTTTAGGGGTTCTTCAAGGGTTTCAAGTTTAGGGGTTCTGTCGGGGTTTAGGGTCCTTTAGGGGTTTAGGATCTTTGGGTGGTTTTGTTCTTTTTGGGTGTTCAGGGTTTTGTAGAGGTTTGGCATTTCGGGTTTTTTTAAGCGCTTAGAGGTTCTTGAAGGGTTTAAACTTCTGAAAGGGTTTACGGGTTCTCCATTCAAGGCGTTTAGAGTTCTTTACTTTACGGGTTTGGGGTTTCTATGGTGGTTCCGACTCCTAGAAACTCTTGTAGTGTTCAGGGTTTAGGGCGTCGGCTTCAGAGTGTATTGAATCTAGGACATTTTCAGGTGGGTAGTTACCGTCATGGGAGCCTTATAGAAGGTCTATATACCTTATGGAAGCCTAAACCCTAAACCCTAAACCCAAAGTCCTATATACCCTAAACTCCCCACCTGTGGTTTCCTTTAATTGAAGGGGCCAAGGTTTCGGGTGGCGGGGTTAGGTTTAAGTTTCCTTATGGTTCTTGAGAAGGGATCCACTAAGAGCTAGGGGTTCCTCGTTTTTTCGTTTAAGAACGTGTAGGGCTGTCTGTTGTGGCTTTCCGGTTTGGTTTGGTCTCGTTCTGGGAGGATCATGCATGCGGGCACAACATGAATTTGGGTTTTATCTCCCTGAAGCAGAAATCCTGAATCCCAAGCCGTCCCGTGATCCTGCCAGCAAGTCTGCAACCCTCCAGACTGCGCAATCCTTGTCCCGAAGCCGATCTCCCTCGCCTCCAGGATTTCTGCAAAGGTTCGGGTTCTGGCTGGGTGGCTTATTGAGTTTATTTCCTAGGCTTCATGAAAGCAGAAGCCCTTATCCCCTTACTGTACCCCTTAAACCCTAAACCGCAAACCCTACCACTTAAACCCTTAAGCCCTACCTAAACCCTTAACCCTCAACCCTAAGCCCCAGAACCCCGAAACCCTAAACCCTGAACCGCAATGCGGAAGGAAAAGGGCTGCCAAAAAAACCCTAAACCCTAAACCCTGCACCGGAGGTCGTTCAGTCGGACGGGCTTGCCTATGCTGCCATCCAGAGCCAGCAGCCTCCAGGCAGGGCACACTGGTTTAGGGTTGTTTGGGCTTTATAAGGGCTGTTCTAGGTGTCGACGGCTTTTGGCGGGTTATGGGCGTAGGGGTTTGAGATTAAATTTAGGATTCGTGCTCGGAGTTTGTGGGGTAAGGTTTTCCGGATGAGGTTTCCTTTAAGAAGGTTCGATCGCCCAAGCCGATTGAAGTCTTGTAGTCCCAAACACTAGAAAGTAGAGCTTAGGACCCGACGAAAATCTGGGGTGCAATCTGAAAAGAGTAGGTTGTTAGATCCTCAGATTTGATCGGCCTTGTGTTGACGGGGCCTATACACGAAGGTCATTCACTTTAAATCCGAAACCCTCAAGCCCGACAACCCCCTTAACAGCACACTGTAATGTGCCAGCGATTCTTACCACACCCCCTAACGGCCCTTCACGCTGGTTTATAGGTTAAGGCTTCTTGGAATACCCAAGCCATGAACCCTAATAGGCCCCCGGAGCACCCAAGAGCGTCTGCACTCGAGGCGATGAGAAGAAGTCCGACGACATGGACATCTAGACCCTCAACCTTCCCTTAACCCTAAACTCCGAAACCCCAAGCCCTAAACCCTA